GTAGCCGTATTAGGAAACAGCGCCGTTTTGCAGACCGGCTGGTCGTAACGTAATACGGCTCTTTATACAATACGGCTGTGATATATATAAATAACTAGTTGTATTTGATTATTGTGTAATGTGGTAACTTTTAATTGAGTCAATACTTTAGCACTACTCCATTTCGTACATGACAAGTAATGTAGTGTTATTTCAAAAATTATGTTATATATGCAAATGCCGGACTGCCACGCAGAGGTCCCAGGTTCGATTCCCGGGCCGGGAGAAATAGTTGTATGGCCTACAATTATTTCTCTCGTGAGTTTGGGTGTAATTTGTGGTTGTCTATGTGTGTGTCCATGGCACCCGCGACACCGGGTTTTCCCTAGTGCGGGGCTATGTTGAGTGTGTGCGTTATATGCAAATATATATGCATATATATACACATATAATCACATTATTCGCAATAGGATCCATTCATTGCGAACTGTCGCAACCGTTGTTCGAATCCGACCGGATCGAACGAATTTTTTCTGAGTGTTTGATCTTTGTATTAATAATTATAACACAATTTGTAGTTACGCAATTTTAGAGATAATACTATATTAGTTATCATGTGCGATTTGTATTGTATAATTCCAGATTCTACGTACAAAGAGTTGTTCGTTGGATTAAATTTAAAAAAACGATGAATTTTTTTATCTTTGACAACACGATTTAAATGAGAAATATTTCTTCGTCGTTTTTTCTTACCTATATTTCGACGGCAGTAACCGATTATCTTCAAAATCACGATTTTATAGTAGATCGTTATGAAACTTAAAATAAAAAGCTAATATCTGAAGGCTATTCAAAATATAATACTCGTAAATATGATTAAGTATAATATCGAATAATGTCAAAGACCAGGCCATTTTAACTTCCATGCAAGGAAAGGTATATTTGTGCTTCAAATGTATCGACGGTCTCGATATACTTAATACTGACTTACGGGCACACTCTTCTTGAAAGTGAGTGAACAGTTAATCTTATAAACAGTACGTAATAAATGACAATTTAAAATAAATTACAATATAAAGTACAAATTTAGCAATAAGGTACTATACATCTCGTAAGAGGCTTGAATTTTTATTATTATTCTTTATTTTGTACATTTTAGAGAAATTTACAGTCCATAGTTATACAAAATATAAATATCTAGATGTCATTTACGACTCTCCACGTTTAAAATTTAAAAAAGAATTTAAAGAGTTTAATAAAACCGAGGAGAGTTCTATAAAACCTAAAACTATCATTTGAAATATTATTATCTATTTTTATTTAATAAATAAAATCTTAGTGTTTATATATACGTGTAACATGATTTGTACTGTTTTATTTTTTTCCTATTGTTTTTAAGTACAATTTATTTATTTTGTTCAATAGACTCTTAATTTGTAAGTACATTTATTTATTTCGCAAATGCCGTAAGTGGCTATCATAGGAATGCAACTTTTCTCCTATGCGTGTTAATTATAAGCAACTTCACAGTTTCTATTCTGTAGCTATGCCATGAATAAATAAAAAAAAGATGGTTTTGGTTTTCAATTTTAGATTCTTGGACTTTCCCATGGTTTAAAAGATAAATTTATTTCTATGTTAATTATTATTGTTGTTTGATTAACCATCTCAGAAGCGGTTTAATAATAATAATAATAATAATTTAAAAAAATACTATATTCTATAATATATTATTATTTATATTGTTCCAGTTATTGTTGCAATAACTATTATTATAATAACTTCGTTAACTTGACTTCCATACTTAAAAAGTATCTTACTTTCACTGCAAAGGAGAGATCAACGTTAAGACAATTTTCAAAAATAATTCGCGTGTCCATATTAAATTATCCACATGTTTCAATAGTTCCAATGGGGCCAAATCAGGAAGTGAACACAAAAATAACCAGTTAAACAGGTAATGTAATAGAATAAGAGGTACCTTCTGTTTCAATAAATTATTGAAACGATTCAATATTTCTTTGGTGACCGATATCATTGGTCCTAAAATGATAATTTATTTCTTGGTCTTTATTGCACAATATAAATTAAATTAAACAACGGAATATTTTTAACAGATATTATTTAAAAATCCCATTAACTCTAGCAAAGTTTTAAATTATCTTCTCAATTTGTTGCGTAAATGGGTCATTAGTGTTTAATGGTATAAAAATAATGCTTACCCTGTACGATAGAAATAGCAGTCATCCAGATTAAATGTTGGGCGAGCGGCGATAACATATTGAACATGCATAAGCGATATTTCACAAGGCAAACCCGACCCCAGACATTACATGACCTCACAGAATTTTATCGAAAACCGTTCACTTTTTAAATATTCCACCTTTATTTTATCGAACAAAATATCTCGAATCGGTTTCAACGGTTTTTTATATTAGCAATAAATACCATAACACCTTATGACCTATGGAGATAAAAAAGTGGTTTAAGTAATAAATCTTTTTACAACTTCAATAAAAGCTGGTTTAACGATACGAGAGGAAAGTTGCGTGAGGGCAGTGTAGGCGCGCGGCGTGCGCCCGCGGGCTGCGGAGGCTGTAGCACTGAGTGAGCGACTGCTACGCGGCTCGCTACGAGCTACGACTGCTACGACTGACTACTTGGCGGATACCACCGTCAAACTTCGCACAGATTTCAACACGAGCAAACAAACAATACAAACTTTCGAGTATCATGAAGATATAGCATAATATGAATTCGCGCAATTGAGATTACAATAATATATTACATAGGTATAACATCTTGAGAGAGCATCCCGAACCATAAAAGGTTAAAATAAAATAAATTTAAATCTACATTTATTTAGAAATGATTATTAGGAAACTTTTTAAGTATTACCCTACGATGAGACTTGTAAATAGCCCGAAACGTTGGTTTGTTTGAAAAAAATATACCATCCGAAAAATACGTGTTATAAACTAAATGCTTTTTTATTGACAATTACACACTAAAAGTATGTTAAATTTCATTTTTCATACTTCTTCATCATCATCATCATATTAGCCGGAAGACATCTACTGCTGAACACAAGCCTCTTTTTATACTTAATGACACAAAATTTAATGGAATGTACAAATGATTATATTAATATTATTTTGACTTATAAGAAATGTAATAAACATTGTGCTCTCTCCAACATTGTAGTCTCCCAACGGGGTACTACAAGTGTAAAGCACAAAATTATGTATACATATCTAAGACCACCATGTGACAATGTAATAAATATGAATACGAAAAACAAATATATGCGAATTAGTACTTTCAATTTATATTAATTGAATATTTCAAATTGATATTGAAAACGAAATTATTGGATTAGGCTGAAACCTCCTTCTAATTAAGTAAATTTTAAATTAGTAATGTTGCTAATATAAGTACCATTAAATTTAATAAAACCATGTGTATCTTACATGTTGTGGTTCGAGTTACTCTCTCAAGATGTAATACATGTATGTATTACAATACATACTTGTAATTAACTCATCCATATCGATGTAAGCATTTATTTTTTTTTGCGATCCGATGTTTTATTTTTGCATTTTTTTATTGAATAGAATGGAATAGAATAAAAATTATTTATTCTGTATGAGAGCCCAATACATATACCTTACATTATTAAAAAAACACATAACAGTTTGCGACTAAAAAATTAGACACGAAGTAAAATTGAAAGCACAGCATGACTCATTACAAAGTATCTAATAATTAAGGAGAATTAAAGAAAAGAAGAAAAGTAATAATAATAATAACAACAATATCTCAAAAATAAAATAGAATAAAACTTAAATAAATATGTAATTAATGTTACGAATAATAAAATTAACAAAACTGGCAGAGTGTGCGCTAAAACTTTACAGAATCCGTTCCACTCAGACTATTATCGTCTCACTGTAGGTGCTACGACGCTGTTTTTCTGTGGATCCGGTAACAGAAATACGCATGGCACGGAACATAGCAGATGTAGAACTAGATTACGTTGTCACAAGCACCATTTCAACAGAAAACTAAATTATTTATCTGTAATTATTTGTTGTTGCTCTTGTCTATTATTCAACACTTTTATTAAAACCTACGTTTATCTATGGCAATGTATGTATAGATGTTATATAACTATATGCACTTATTGGAGCTGACCTGTCTCAAAGAGGTTTTATTTTGATTGATGCACAGTCATATGACACTTGTCAGTATGGAGGCATCAATACGGCCATTATCTAAAAAAGAAAAAAGCTACGTTTCATCAACTATGTATAGCATCTTATGAAACCGCAAAATTAGTAAATTAGTACTGCAAAAATAAATTTTTACTTGTTTGTTAATATTGTTTCGTCTTTAATTTCTAATTAACAAACTGAGCATAGACTGAGCCAATGGCGACAAATTTTCGAAGATGGTAAGTGAAACAAATTTATCTCAAAACAGTTTGATGTCAACAGCACGCTAGGGCTTACCGGTATTCTGATATAAAAGTAACAATAAGTAAATAAGTAAGTAAAGTAAATTTTAAGCATACGAGTAAAAAGCAGTAAATATTAAACTTGTTGTAAAACTAAAACTGTCGTTCCGTCAAACATTTTTGTTGAAATTGTTAAATATTGATTTAACAATTAAATCAAAAAGAATTGAAAATCAAGAAAAATTGTTAATAATATGGAATCAACTGCTCACCGAACAACATATTTGTAATTTGTTACTTAACACTCGCATGCATAATATTCACTATTACAAATATAATATTTTTATATTTTACATAGTCATTTAATATTTTTATAATAAACAATTGAAGTTTAGTAATATTAAATTTATTTTTAAAGAGCGATAGAACATTTCATTGATCAGTTATTAGTTAAGTTAATTATAAATTCACCGCAGCTCCGTATAATATACATAACGTGACCATTGCTTTTTCAATCAGAGCGGGATTATTGTTTATTCATTATTGTTTAAAAATAAAACACATGTTTGTGATAGTTACGAAATGTTTAACGGTAAAAAAAAATGTTTATGATCAATCATTTTCAGAAAGATCTAATGTTGTGTAGTCCGGTGTGCTGGCTTTATACGTTTTTCGCAATAGCGCCATTTTTTTAAAAAATTTATTGTCACGTATATCCTGTTTTGTAAAAGCGAGACATTTATAATATTTTGGGGACAACGGGACACGGAACTTAAAAATGGGACTGTCCCGCTCAAAACGGGGTGTATGGTCACGTTAAATGTACAGCACAATTTACAATTTCATTGTTGGTTGCTCCTGTCAAATTGTGGGAACCATTAGGTCACGTAGAAACCAATTAGGATGCTAGTGCAGTCGACGAAGTGGTGTAAACAGCTTAGAGGTTTACCGAGTAGCGCACTCCCGTTTAACCGAGCTAGGGCCAATTGAGCGAACACGACTCCTCCACTTGGAAGTTTCTGTAATTGCCTATTCCTGTAAACGATTTTAGAATTAACGAAAAACAACTTTTAATATAGTGGATTTTCTGCTGTTAAAGTAGCAACTGCTATTTTGCAATATTTTTTAAAGTAACGTACAATGTCCTTTCTGAAGTTGGTTAAAATATTGTTTTCCAATAAGATATGCAGAATATACTCATTATAATAGACAGCCATAACACGAAATTAAATGCCTTAAGTAATTAAATTCCTTTGATACAAAGACCACAAATATTTTCATTTACTTTGTTCCCTTGTTTTCTCAAAAACGAAATCTAACATAATATTAAATAATATATTTTTGTATTATAATATATAGTATATTAAGTAATAATATTACCGAAAGCCTTTTCCATTTATTTGCCTTTAGTCATTGACTTACAAATAAATGGACGACGGGTCTAATACAAAAACCACGAAAAAAATGTCCCAAGTCAACCTATTCGAAATTTAAATTGTAATGTCATCGCAGTATCGCGCTGTCAGTCGAACAAATGAAGACTAAAGCGGAGTGTCGCGCTCTGTATACGATTTTAGCGCCTTACAAGTGCGGACACTTTTTAGCGCGGACCCGACGTCCATATAATTGTAAGTCAATGCCTTTAGTAGACAAAGTAATTACCAGTGTCAATGGTTGTATATTGATAGCAATATACAACCATTGACACTGGTAATTTAAATTATAAGAATAGTCTTTAAAACCTAATATAGTCAAAAATATATGTTCAGTAGCAGTATAGTACCTTGCGAAAGAGTTCGCCCAGGGATGTGCTGCCATTATACCTATTTTTGTCGCTAAGAAATAATATGAGCATTACTGGGTACCGGTTTTAAAGAGTCTTACCCTTCGTGGTGATGTAAGTACAGATATGTGATGATATGATGTCAACTAATAAATTATTACTTTATATGTACCTCTAGTCTCGTGACAATCATTTAATGTTTTATTTGTTGTTGGAGTAGGAGTAAACGTTGGCGAATTGGCAGTCTAAATTTCCGAACTAAAACCATAAATAGTTGCTTTATAATATGTCTTATCTCTTTAAAAATAATATTAGTTTTGAGCAATTCAAATATTCATTTCAACTAAACCACATTATATTTTATTAGTTTACAAAATAGTATAGTATTTATTTACAAATAACATACTTTTAAAAAAATACAACAATGTATTTAAAGTCATGAATCTCGACATATTTACGCTATCTTTAAAAATAAAATTAATTTTTTTTTATTCAAAATTCTGAATAATCTGTTTTGTACCATACCGTTTATTTGTATTCTCATTCTAATGTAGGGATTATATTGTTTTTACTTTTTCTTTTTAACTATAAAGAATGTAGAGATTATAATAATGTAAAAAATATCCCTGAATCTGTACAGCTTTCTGTGTTAGCCAATAAGTATGGTGTATATCCTTTAAACTTTGTCAAGTATTGTACATTTGATATTGTTGTAAACCATCATGTTGGCTTTCCTATACAATAAATAAATCAATAAATAAACAAATTATAGTTTTGTTCCCTTCTATTTTTTATAATCTTAGAAACATTTGTACCGTTGTTGTTTCCTTGAACTTTGAACTTTAGGATCAGAGTAACGTATTAAATATATATATATATATATATATATATATATATATAATAAAAAGTACCAATTTATAAATTTGGCTGACTCCACAAATTCGGTGGCAACGTCATAGCTTATCAATGTCTCGACAAAACAAGTAACTGAAATAGGTCACTGCCACAATGTCACAAGGGTACAAGAGGCGACCAGTTTTCTCTGTGTCACCGAGATCAACCACAGCTTTTAAATTACGTAGAACCGCTCATTGGTCAGTTGCGTAACTCTTACAATTGCCACTTAAAACCTACTCATATATAAAAGTGCTTTTAAAACATGGAAGTCATAAAAATACGAAACAAATTACGTGTATGATAACTATTAGAATTCTCCTACTTAAGCATAAAAAAGTTATCGACTAATTTCGTTCGTACAATCTGTAAACCTCTACCAAAAAGTTGTCATTTTACAGATGTGGCTTCATTACACCAAGGGATATGCGATATGTATTTCGTTAATCCTTCATTTTAACACAGTCTAATTCTTGGTTCTATCCTTTGGTTGATTTCTACTGCAGCCAGGGAAAGCATTATTCGTTACAAAAATCTAATTCGAAAAATCATTTCTCGTTCTAATAATAAACTGTACTAGAAAATGATACCTTTATGTGCTGTCTGACGTGCACTGTCCATCCATGTGTGAAACCAATCAATTAGAGAGCTCGATAGCAACCAAGCCAACAGGGTACTGCTTTTTTACCGATATGAGGCGGTAATTTAATTTATTTAATATTATCATTATAAATAATAAACAAAATACAATAATAATATAAAGTACCAAACGTTTCGTATTGATTAAACTACTTGCATGTCGCCTCTAGTTTTGGCCGTTCTATATATCTTTGTTCATTGTGTATAGCAATATTCACGTTAGCGATTCAACCAACTAACTCACGTTTAAATAAGCAACTACGCACTTAATGTAGAATAATTTTTATACCCAATTTTTATCGTTCGATATTTCAACTGTACTATATTTAGTTTTTTTTTCTCATGTTAAGTGAATGAAAATTCTTGGTGAGAAATAAAATCTTTAAACTTAAACCTAATTTATCATCAATTTTATTTCCTTATTTAAGTCGCAGTATGGTATGTTAACATTCCTTTAAGTCACAGTATTAATTTTGCGTTAAAAGTACTTAGAATAGTGTTTTTAACACGATAAGCAATTTTCATTCTCTTTTTTTCCTTTCGTCTTTCGTGATAAATAGTCTTTATTCTTATGTATTAATCCTCCTTATTATATTTAATTTTCTATAGACGTAACATTGACCCATGGTAGGTTAAGTAACCACCGATCACACAATCAGTTTCTGAACGATCGGTCATTTAAAAAAAATTGAAGTAATACTTTGGCGCGAACAAAATGGCGGATTTCTGTATTATTATTGTTTTCCATCCATTGACTTACAATTATATGGACGTCGGGTCCGCGCTAAAAAGTGTCCGCACTTGTAAGGCGCTAAAATCGTATACAGAGCGCGACAGTCTTCATTTGTTCTACTGACAGCGCGATACTGCGATAACATTACAATTTAAATTTCGAATAGGTTGACTTGGGACATTTTTTTCGTGGTTTTTGTATTAGACCCGTCGTCCATTTATTTGTAAGTCAATGTTTCCATCCTCTAAGTTTTTACAGGAAAATAATTTTTAGTCCAAGTATATATAGTATATCAATTGATGCAGTGCAAGACAAGTTTTGATTCGAAAAAAAATTAATCTAAAATCGGACAGTATGGTTTTAGCCTGTCCCGTACGACAAATAATTTTACTAGTATACTTTGACTCGCGAATTCGTATTATATTAATTAAGTTCCTGTAGCAATTATGTAAGAAATGCTTACAAAAATTATTTCATGCATTGTTTGTCGAGTTAGTTGACCGAGACTTTTACGCTCACCACCATAATCGATGGTGGTGGTGATAACCAAACAACAGAATCCAGCCTTATAAGGAAGTTGAGGAAATAAAATCGTGATTGTCTATGTAGGATCGTAGTGCCTCAAAATGCTAGATGTATAAATTAAAGTCGGCAAAACTAGCAATTAGTAAAGTAAGATTTTGTAACATTAGACTTGAATTTATTAGTATTCACATTATAATTTTGAGAGGTTCTGAACACACAAACTGCCAACTTAAAGATTTGAAAATGAATTTTACTTGGTTCGCATTGAGGGTATTAATTTGCAATACATAAACCTTCTTACTAAATATAACACATGTGTTATGTCTAACGCACAACGCACACACTCAACATACCCCGCACTAGGGAAACCCTGTGTCAAGGGTTCCATAGACGCACACATAGACAACCACAAGTACACCCAAACTCACGAGAGAAATAAATGTAGGCAATACAAATATTTCACCCGACCCGGGAATCGAACCTGGGACCGCTGCGTGGCAGTCCGGCATGGTAACCGTTCGGCCACAGAGGCAGTTTAACACTACTTTGTAAAGATTTACTATTTCTGTTACACTATTTATTATTATTATTTATTAACTATAGTTCGAGAACGACACGAACAATTGCATTAAAACGGAAATCTAACAATTGTTATTTGAACTTGACCTTTAAACACACATAGGATTATTATATTATTCAGGGCAATTTGAGCTTTCCAGCTTTTAAGCCAGCCTTCAATCAAAGCAATGGCGATGGTGCCACGAGACAAATCCAATCGAATTAAAAATACATTTAGCGGTGAAGGGAGTCGTATAGTAGGGTCACTCATTTGCATTTTTGCTATATGTTTTCTTTTATGTTATATAGAAGTATGTATAGGCAAGCAATATATAAATTGTTTAAGATTTTTACATTTTGAGCACATGCGCATAGAAAAGCAAGTACGTAATTACTTAAGTAAGTATTAGGTAATCTGATTTTAATTTGAATTGTATAGAACATAGTCGTCGGTATTTTGTAGAAACGGCAAAGTGCCGTTTCGAAAAATTTTTCAGGTTGCCATGTTTTAGTTTTTCACGACTGTGTTAAAATATTTACATCCTGTTTCAAATTCAATTTCAGAACTTAAATTTAATTAAAACCAAAAATATATTTTAATACAGGACGTCAATAACATAATTTTTTTTTGGTTTATTATAAATACCTACACGAAAGTTTTCTGTACGCGTTTTCTTTTTATTAAATTCTATACTTCACGTATTAGTTCCTCTATTCGTATAGGTTCCTTGCAGAAACTTGGGTTGCACGAAAGGAGCCTTCCCGCATGACGTACCATTCCTATTCTGTACTCCTGGTACACCCTAGGCAACAATTGGCGACTACTTTACGCCAGTTGGCAAATCCTTTCTTCATGGTGGCAAGCATTATAGTGTATGCCATCGATACGATAAGATGACGAAAAATGATAAATTAAAAATATCAGTCAAAGCAATCGTTAAGTTTTCGATTTTATAGGTGAAAGCCAGTCCAAATACAATGTTGTGTTCAAAGTGTCATCTGCCGACAAGCTGTATTGGACACCAAGGGTACTTAAGGTGCTCTCCCACCGGTGAGGCGAGACGAGGACCGAAATTTGTGTGGAAAAATTTCAATTATCTCCAAGCGCATGTTCTGTGGTAATGTTTGGATTGACAGAGATGTGCGAGACAATAATTTAATGTTTTTTTTGGTATTATATAGAATCGTAGTGCTGCCTAAGTATAGATTGTTTATTATCTCTGCTACACGATTCACGCGACGCCTTGCGCGTGCTCGTGCGGGCCCGTGTGTGAGGTTTTCATAGTAGACATAGAAATGAGACTCCTTTGACTGTTATAAATTATATTTTAAGATCTTTCATTATAAACCCAAACAAAGCAAAACCATGTCTTTTCTAGTTAAAGACGTTTTTCGTAATGGCGGCCGCACGTCAGCGTTCCGTTGATACGATGATGATATAGATTTATTTCTTATTTCGATAAAACTAATTCTTAATTAAGCAAAGTAAATTTTCTAATAAAACAAAATAAATTAATGTCACGATTCGCTAACACGTGTATTAATTAATATCGATCGCGAGATTGTGGGTACGATTTAAGTTTAACAAGCACCATATCGTACGTTAGTTTTGATTATAGTGATACGAAAAGGACACTATAACCTGTGCGCGCACAGGAACCTTACAAGTTCAGGTTCTCACCCCAGATCAGCCAGTGTACAGGGTTCTCACAGACCTCTGTCACTTGACTTCGTCTGATTCTTCGAGAGGCTAGTGCCTCAAGTGAGCCGCCCCTGGTGCACGTACAGTACCCTCCCTATTTTCCAGATAGGTACCGGAGCTGTAGGCACGCTCACTTCCCGTTGCGCATTGCACAACTAGCAGTTGCCACCGCTAAGTCGTCGCCGCCGTCTACTCTGAGTCTACTACCAAATCTCCTCATTGGTGGCGGAGCTGTAACGCACGCTCACTTCCCGACGCCGAGAAACGGCGTCTCTTAAGTTCCCAATAACATAAGCGGCTGGAGGGACCGGAGGATATCTAGCTTATCCTCTACTAGCTCTCCGGGCTAGTGCTGAAGATGTCAGTCGCAGTGTCCTGCGATAATGTCCGGACATAGCTTCCAACTTAAAAGGCAACTCACGTGCACCACGCGTCTCCTCGCATACAGGCCCTCAACTAGATCGCTACTAAGACGCGCGATTTAAGATTAGTAAAATAGCCTTTTCCAAAATATCAGCCAAGTAATTTACTCTATTAACTGCCTCCGTGGCCGAACGGTTACTATGCTGAACCGCCATGCAGAGGTCCCGGGTTGGATTCCCAGGCCGGGAGAGTTATTTCTCACGTGAGTTTGGGTGTAATTTGTGGTTGTCTGCCTATGTGTGTGTCCATGGCACCTGCGATATAGGGTTTCCCTAGGGCATGGCTATTAGTGTGTGCGTTATTATTATTATTATTGATATTTCAACATTTTTATTTCACTATCCACAACCTCAGCACAAGATCGCGCGAGCTCGCAAGAGCTTATAATACCAAACGCGAGCTTGCGATTTTTGATGTAAATCGGCCAGTGAGATTTCAGTTCTCATCTCGATCACGTCGTCTCGTTGGCGAAAAAGAACAATTTATATAAATTTCATTGCACTTTTTTATTAAGGAGTTTCTCCCTGTAAATCAGACCAAAATTTCGACTTTCCATACGGCAGATGTCAGTGAGATGCACCAGCTGAAGTATTGATTATACACACTATATAGCAATGATCTATACTTAAGTATAGACACACAATGAGACTTCACACCACACAACAAATCTCATAAAGCTTTATAACAAACCATTATTTTATAACTTTTAACGATCATTCTCGGACTAGTGCTCACTACCTAATTTCCGTGGTAATTTTTATTATTTAAATATTCAAATATATTATCGTGTAATCATTAAATAATATTTCACGGTACAATTCTAATATAATATATATAATATTTAATAACATTGCACGATAAAAAATGCGTATACTTCCGAGAATGACGGTTAAAAATTGTCTTGAAATATTTTATATATAAATAATAAATACTAGTCTCGTATTATAATATAATGCTTGAGCTACTCGTTGGTTCTATTTAAAACAGGTAAAATTTATATGCGTGGAAGAACAAGCATTTGAAATGTGTTTTTACAAACGTCGTAGAACTGTTGGTACATTTGATGTCCAGAATAAACCTCTTCAGTCAGGCAGTAAGTATTTAGTATATTTTTAGTAGTAAAGCTCCTTGGGAAAGAATTCGTCTAGGGAACGTCACTTAATATCATTAAAAAATACTAATAATTATATAATTTGGTATTTTTCTCAATGTTTGAAACTGTAATTATGTTGTAACAAAACTTATTTATTTTGATGGCATACCTATCAGTTACGAATTCTATGTACCGTAAAGAAATAATGTTTCTTTGTATCTCCTTCAGGGTACTAACAAAATTTATTTTTGTTTCACGCGTCGACGGTATTCAATTTAAAAAGAATTTTTATCGGCTGTAGAGTTCAAGTCAAACCACTTTTAAGAAAGTTCGCGGCGTGGGTGTACCAGACAAACCTATTAAGAAATAAAGGGTTTAAGAAGTTTCAGAGGACTCAATTTGTAGTAGTTGTTTAAGTAAGTAATTGGTCGCATTTCTGAAACACTCTCTCTGTGAAATCGGCAATTCCCTCGGGTTAACTATTAGATTTACGAAACTAACATTCTATTATGTTCAGAAAATAGACATTTAAGATCTGTTCACTGATTTATTTGTACAAAAGAACTTGTTGTCTTCGAAAAAAAATTGAAATTTTGTAATATAATAACTGTAAACAAATTATGACGTCTTTGGTAACAATTCGATTTCAGAGTTTCCTTAACCAATATCCAATTTTTGAACAAAATTTGGAAAGTATTATTAGACATTTCAGTTAGAATGTCGGTAGGTACTTGCCGAAAATATGTTCCCAATCATATATTATTCCGATATCTAAATTTTCTTTTTATGTAATAGTTATTGTACCAGAACTCATAAAGGATAATCTAGATACTTTAGTGTATATCTGGTTAGCTTAAAGTACCAATAGAATGAAGAGTGACAGACAATAGACTTGGATATAAATCCGATGGATTAATCATTATCCATAGATAGCTAACAAGTGTTCAGGTTGGGTTCTGAAAACCTATTTATCCATAATTAGTACTTAGTTAAGGGAGTTAGAACTAAGCCCGGTTTTCTCTGTTATATAACTCATATTCATTCTTTTCATTATTTTGAAGCATACAGTCAAATATAAAAATTGAACTATAGTTTCGAAAACCAATCATCAAAAAAAATGATACAGCGAAGAATGGTATGATGCAGGTCGGCGTTACAACGTTATTGAATGCTTATTCAAAATTGCATATTACAGATATTCCACTTAGATTTAAATTTATAGCCAATTATGGCAAGCTCTACAGTACTTACTTATCCTAAAGTAAATTAGACTTTCATTCAGAGTAAAATTACCGAAGTAAAACCTTTAAAAGACTTACTTTGTCACTGTGATTTATTGTTAGAGTAGGCCTAACGTAAGAGAAACTTGAAGTTAAGCCGAATGAGACCGTATTACATTCTTATTTCTCTCCAAAGTAATCAAGGCCTTCACCCGTTTTCCTCAAGTCTCTGCTCCTTAATTTTCCAACCTGTGCCGACCGACTAACTTTGCTCCGTACAATTCGAACTAAACTTAGGTGCAGATAATCCGATTGTAAATCACCCACCTCTTGTGATTGCATTTCTGGATGCTTGAGTTATCCGAGGCGATTCGTCTTCAGCTGTTGATCTGTGTCAAATTCAATTTGATGAGATTGACGGGAATCGATACGATAGTCAACGGCGGAGATGTTATTTTAGATGTTTCTATCAGTAACTCAAATACTAATGCAATATACTGTAGATTATAAATATCTATACACTCGATACAAAATCGTAATTGACGTCACAATTGAATGAATTGAAGAGTGTTGTTCAATTGACACCGGTCATTCGTATAAAATCACTTGACACATGTAAGCTTCGAAATGTGTTGAGTATTTTACTAATAGATAAATGTAAGTATGACATCAAAGATTTCTTATATGACATTATAACTTAATCTTATTCACTAGTATGGACACTAATAGTACATATGGAATACCTTAAATATTTTTCATTATTTCATATTGTCGATGTCGGTAATTATGTTTGTAATATTCGTATACATACTTGGTTTGAACTCTGATCTTATGTGAATGAATAGCTGTTACGAACAAGTACCTAACATTTATGTACAGAACAAAACATCAAACAATACAGTTAAGAACACCACCGGTTAAACAGTGGAAAACCCACATAAAAACATTGAAATAAAAAATGTAGCTCAGCATTCATAAATAGAATGATGTCGTTTCATAGAACACAAGATTCCTTTTTATTTTTTTACAAAATAAAAGAAACCTCATTTTATCTTGAACGTTAAAGTAAAGAAAACGAAGATTAAGTAACACGAACATGATCTACTTATGACGCGCGGAATCACAAATGGTAAGAAAATAATAGGGGTGTAAATATGAAATTGCCGATTTATAGTACTTTGAATTAAAATTAAATCTGTATATAAATTATCAGATTTCAGGATGAAAATTTTTTCACACGAAAACAAAAACATTCTTAATTTAAAAAACGTGATATATTTGAATTGTTCGACTTTTCATTGTTTTTATACTCAGCTTTTAACGACAGATGGATACAGCGAAAATTAGAGTAATTTTCAAATGCGAGTTCCCACATAGGGTCAACGCAGCAGAAACTGCTCGTAATGTAAATGCCGTGTTTAGAGAGGATATGGGTATCGAACGCACCATGCGTTTTTCGACAATTTTCAAAATTTCGACTTGAAGACTGAACCACGAAGAAGACTAGTCACTAAAGGTAAATAACGAAGAATTGAAGGTGATGATGAAAGCCGATCCGTATCAAACTACCAAGGAATTAGCGGCTTGGTTTAATGTTAGCATACCCACAATATGACATAATATCGCATTTGAACAATGACGGCGAAACTCGCAGCAAAACAGCTTTACCATTATTGCGCCATTATAACGCAAGACCTCACACTGCTCGAGAAACATTTTTAACACTACCAGACCTGCAGTTACAAACCATCCGTCAATCCTACATACTCGCCGGACCTCGTCCCAACCGACTGCCATTTTTTCCGCGTTTTGGACTATTTTTTGCACGGAAATATTCACAAGAAGCAGTACAAAATGCCTTCACACAGCTTGTGGAGTCCAGGTCCTCAGAGTTCGAGTGAGTTTAAGTGATGACCAAAATATAGAAAGGGAGCGTAGGGCGTTGTCAGTAAGATGCAATCTGCTGGCCGTCGGGTTCGCGAGATGCTCCATCGATGTTAAAATTACTTTATTCAAACCTTACAGCCAATCATTTTACTCGAGCGGCCTGTAAATTAAGTATACAAAACGAGAGTACAACACCCTACGTGTTCAATATAATAACTTTTAGGATGCTTTTGGAACTACCAAGATGGTTCAGTGCATCAGACATGTTCGCAGAGGTGCAAGTAAACGGCTTCCAAGCGATAATGCGGTAAAAACTACTAACTAGTATCACTCAGTGAGGTATAATATCATTGGTATGGCTTGTAACTCGTGTCAGAAGTAGCCACAACCGCATCCTAAAAATGGTTGCAGTCAGATTTGATTGTAAAATTCTAAAGTACTGGGTTGGGCAAACTAAATCTGTTTTTATATATATATTAAATAAATATTATGTTATGTTGTGTCCTTGTGCTCTGAACCTATTCTAAGTGAAAATGTTACTAACAAAGTATAAGGGTAATATGCCTGATATAAATAAATTTATTATATTCTGTAAATAATTACTTGTGCTTGACTGTTGCATGCTGTGGCAATTTTGCCATAGACACATACATATGAAGACAACCAAATCGCACCCAAACTCACGAGAGAAATAAATGTAAGCCATACAAATATTTACTTCCCGCGGCCCGGGAGTCGCACCCGGGGCCTCTGGGTGACAGTCCAGCATATCGCAACACACTAGTTCTACCACTACCTAGATTACGCTCTACTTACAATCAAATTAACTCTCGAATACATATACATAGACATTTTCATTCTTCCTGTAATATTTTCAAAAATAAATTCGTATCGCTTCCCCAGTAATTTCACAAGTCCTTTGTTGTTCTCTTTGTTGCTTTAAATGTCGTGTACGTCTGTAATAGGTAGACATATAAATACAAAACTAATGTAAAATTACACTTTTATCTAAGAATATATGTATACTACTGTTGAATTACCTTAACTATAAAATAAATAAAATAAACACACGTGAACGAAATGTATTTATTTATGTCAAAAATTGACTTGAATATGGTCAATTCTAATACGGCGTATACATTATTATACATTGCAAAAGGTCCGCCTAAATCCGATTTATTCATAAGCTCAAACCTCACTAAGCTATTGTTTTGTATCTCCTGGAGAGCCCGCATTACCAATGACGGACTATATAGCAAATCCAAGGATTTACCCTAAATTGTTTTGAGGATTTGAACCGTTAACGGTTTTGTCCAACCCATTACTAAATCTATGGTCCAAACACTCTTGAAAGCAAGACAAGCGTATTAAACAACATTTTATGGTTCATTCCACAAATCCCCAGTACATAATATTAAATAACATACCTATTACTAGCTACTAAGTGGAAATAAAAATCTAATTATGGAAATAAACATCCCATCAAGATTTTATTTTACCCATTATATTATTTTTTAGATGACAGATTCGTAGTGCCGACGTAACGACAAGAATACGACAAAGGCTCAACTCACATTGGCGCAAAGTTGAAACGTCACGACGCGTCATGTTTTTCGCATATAGCATATTCATCTCTATTTTCCAAATATTATGGTTCTTTGTGTTATGCAAATATGGAATCGCGCGTCGATGCTTAGTTAAAGTCGAGCAGTTTCGCGCGTCGCCCGTGAATTCCTTGCGCGCAGTGAAGCGTCGAACGCCGACCACACTGTCATCCGGGCGCGCTAATGCGAGCGAGTGTCGTAGTTGCAAACCAGGACGCGACGCGACGCTTCGACTCTGCGCCAGTACGAATTGAGCCATGTAGATTAATTGTGTTTTCCTGAAACTGAAAATGCAGTTTTGAACTTCCTACAAAATATAGGATTCTTAAATGTGTACACGAACAATTACTTAATTTTCGCACTTGAACGCGTAAAAGAAGTCAAATCGATTCTACTATTTGTATATATTCAAAATGTTTTGTAGTCTATTTATATCACCCACTATATTCTATTTGTATCGTCAACTGCAAGGGTA